TGACACAACTCTCTCTCTCTCTCTCTCTCTCACACACACACACACAGAGCCCATTATATTTAGTTGGAAATATGTACATTCCAGCAGTTTTATATCAAAGAGGAGGCTCTGCACAGCAAACTAGGTGCTGGAGATGTCAAGATGGAACAGTACTTTGCATCACTGAGACCCTGAGAGATAAATACCATATTCCCACCAATTAGTTTGTGCTGGACACAGTCTACTCTTTGACATGGAGCCAGTAGAGTGTATTTTCAAATGCTGATAATGGGTGGTATGGTGTGGTTGTGGGAGTGAAGCTGGAATGCTAACCACTGTCTACAAACGTCTTCTCCTCCAAATATTTTCAAATTTACTAAGAAATATTTTTTCATGATCTCTCCTTCCATGTATGTGTGTATATCTATATCTATATCTATATCTATATCTATATCTATATATATATATATATATATGTAATTTTTGTTTAAAAAAGTTGTTGCCTGTTCTTCTCTCAATTTGTAATAGCACAGAGTTCACTATTTTTGCTTTCAAAATAAAAAAGCATTAAGTAAAGCAATGCCCCCCCTCCTCAAGTGCAGCCTGATGTGGCACTGTCCATCTCTTGCCTCATCCTGCTAGCAGGAGAAGATCACGCTAGAGACGCTACATGACAAGCAGAAAAAATCCAGAGCAAATATGCTTCTCAGGTTTATCTTAAGTGACAAGGCTATCTTGGCCATTAAGCCAACTGAGGTGACCACCTCAGGCAGCAAATGCTGTGGACAGCAGCCCATGCCAGACATTCCGTCACCAGATCCTAGAATAGAGGTACAGTATCCCTATAGCAGCCTGTTTCCTCTAAGATGATGGGAAAACGTTAGTGTTGAAATAAAATACAACTGCCATTTTGGTTTGTTTCCATATGGGGAATTATGGGAAGGATACTTCCATTTCAGGCAGCAAAACATATCAGGCCAGCAACGTCAAGAACAGAAAGATACAATTCTGGGAGAGAAAACCAGCAAAGAATCCTGTGCCATCTTTAAGGCGAACAAGTCTTATCTAGCGTAAGATTTCATGGATTGTAGCCCACTTATTCAGAAGCATGGCATGGGAGTGAAGATGCACAGAGTCTGAAGATGTGGGCTACAGTCCACAAAGGCTTATGCCAAATAAATCTTGTTATTTTTGAGGGTGTCACGGGACTCTTTCTTGGTTTTGCTGCAATACAGCAACATGGGAGGAAATAATGCGAGTGGGAGAAGATGTTCCTTTATCATGTAACACAGACTCTGCCTCATTGATACCTCAAGGCAGAAGAAGCCCCTTTGTTTTTACTGCACATGCAAGTTATTTGTAAATGTGGTTTGATTTTTTTCCCCAGTGTTTGTCTGTGCAGAAGCTCTGTTGTTTTCAGTGGGCTTCTGCTCAGACAACTGCATGCCGGAGGACGCCCAGGATACTATGCTTGAGGGTTATTACAGTATCCTAACAGCATTCTGCCTTTTGAAAAAAAGCTTTTTCTTTTTGTACTACATAGTTGGGAGTAGTTCTTCTAATCTAGCTTACTGGTAGATTGAGAACAGGAACTCCTTATGATAGTCACACAGTCAAAGGAGAGCTCATGCAGGCAGCTGTGTTGACCAGAAGGGAAAATGTAGTCCTTTTACAGTATTTGCCCGCATGGACGCCTTATGTTGGGTGAGATATATAATAAAGCCCTTCAGTTATATAGGACACATTTGGATGAATTACATGTAAAGGAAATTAATCATACATAAATGTATACTAGTTGTTATAATTTTTTTTATAAGTTCCAGTCAGTTCAAGTGGCCCAAAAGGGAAGCTGTTTCACATGGGTCATGAGCCCCAGTGTCCCATGATGACATGGTCTATTTTCTCTATTTTCTCTGAATTAATTTCCTGTATACACTTCTCTGCAGCCTGGAAAACATTGTTTTCCCAATTAGATACACTGTGCTGTATCTGGATCCGAAGGACAAATGTCCAAGTTCTAAAGGTACAGTACTTGAAATGCAGTCATAAGCATGTTTGCAGAGGTGTGCTTCAGAATGACTGTTTTCCAAAACGTAAAGATAGTGTGAACGTGTTTCAGTTTACTCTAGAAGGAGTGTAAGGGCTTTCCTGGATGGAGCAAAAGTTCTACTCTTTTTGTTGGTCATAAAGGGCTGCAAAAATTACTGGCATTTGCATCCAAAGTTCCCTTTCTTCTCTTTACAGGGGCTGTTATTTTAAAAGGAAATCTTTTAAAACATAATTAAAAGGCTCAGCTGCAGAAGCTTTTTAGTTCATTCATGCTAAGAGAAAGCTCCCCTTGGACATGGCTTCAGCTGGGAAGAGCCATAGCCTAACTCTATCCTCCCAGAACAAAGTGAGAGACTAAAAATAAATCATGTTTTCAGGAAAGAAGAAAAGGTAGATACAGCAGTAGAAAATCTCACAGTACTAATGGAAACGAAAGGAATGTTGATTGGGGGGGGAATAATACCAGTAAGATCAGTGGTGAACTAGATGCATTAAGATGAAAAAATGCTGCTTGAAAGAGACTTAGGGCTTTACAATAAAGATGAGTGTTGAGGAGGAAGAGAAATAACTGTGGTTCTTTGTTTCAGGAATGAAGACAAGAACAGGATAAGGAATGGTGGTGGTGGGGAACGAAAATACTGAATGTCTGAAATTCCACCCAGATTTTTTTTCTCTGGGAACTGCTCTGGCAGTTTCTCCCAACAGTTCCCGTATTTTCCATTTCAAGCTTTATCCAATTCAAACAAGTTTTAATATGCTTCTTACGTGACTACTTAGAAATCTATATTAAGTGCTCCTAAGGTCATGGCTGACTGTTGTACTATTTAGAGTACTATTTAAAGCAGTTACTGGAGCCTTGAGTACACATTCATTCCAGGTATAAATTAATGCTGGGGCAGAGCATTGTTTCCCTTGATACTGCCATAAATTTCCATGCATTCAAAGTGGGTTTTTTGCACAGCAATCTACGAGTGTATAGTTCCTACGCAAGACATGTACCCTTTGCTCCCCTTGTACCTCAGTACACAGCAGTAGCTGAAAACCCCAGTATGGTTCCTCACCGAGATTGCAAATAGGTGCAGTGAAGACTCTGCCATATTACCTGTTGGCTTGCTACCAATGAGAGCTAAGTATATGGTTCAAAGCTGTGTTGCTGCTAACAACAGAAAGAAATACAGAAGGAGTTTCCTCATTCTTTGATGGCTCATGAACACCAAACACCACTTTTACCTTTCTATAATTTTCATTGTATCCCAAGAAGATCTGTCTATGTCTACCAGATACCAGGCAGAAAAAAAAAAGTTTCTTCACCAACATTAATAAACAAGCTTTTCAGGTACTATACAAGAAAAACATTCCAAAATCAGACAAAATGTGAATAATTGTCAGGAGCATAGCCTTGTTTCAAAAATACACACAAAATGAATTATATGTATTTTTTTTTTAAAAAAAAAACTGAGGCAGTTTGTGTCAACTTAGTAGGAGCTCACATTTCTTCCGTGTACAGTAGTGCAATGTTATCCATGTTTACTCAGATATAAACCTTACTGGGATTTACTTCTAGGTAAGTATAAACAGGAAAGCAGCCTTACCTGTGTTTTTCTCTTTCTTTTGCTCTTTTATATTTGCTACCAATTAGTCCTGCACTTGCCTTCACCACTGCGGACAGGGGTGGGGGAGGGCACTACAGTTTCAGAACAAATACAGTTATCTATTTATTACTAAGGTCACATACCACTGCTCACTGACAAGGACGATGCATGGAGCAAGCTCCAGTTAATTTCCCCAATATTGACATAGCTCAGTTTTTGTGAAGACTCCAGATGATGTCACTGTTAAACATCTGATTCCCTCTATTGTTGTGTTCTCTCCCATCTTTTCCAGTCCGAGTCAGATGATATTTGTTGTTAAAAGTGCGGTCACAGCCTCAGCCAGGAAAGCCTCAAACACTACCGGGTTTTTTGCCCTACTTCTGGTCTATTGATACAAACGTCTTCTGGGCCTTTTCTTCTAGAGGGTTATTTATTCCAGCCTGTATCTGTAGTCATGGGCCTTCTCACTTGGCCATTTAAGTACTGTACGTTTCTTTTTCTGATACAAGGATCCATGTTTTTTTTCTCCTGATCTACCAAAGATTTTTTTTAAAGCGGGTCTATTAAATAGGGTAAAAAGACAGATCCCCCCTGTCCCTCCCAGTTGTTAACGTTTTGCTAAAGAAAGTATTCCAGTCCTCTTTAGCGACTATAAGGAGCCCGCCGTCAGCGGCGGCTAGCCTGGAAGGAAGGAGGGTCTCATTGGAGAGAGAGATGCTTGAGAAGCATCCTCGGTCGGACGCTTTCTGCCTCTGAGGAAGCGTGCTCGGCCCCACGAAAGCGCCCGTAGCCATAACCGTGCACACTTATTAGCGCCTGCTGAAAGGATTTACTTCCAGGTAAGGGCAGCGAGGACGGCAGCCCTTAATCTCTCTAGAAAGCCGTTTAAGGAGCCACAAAACTCGCTCTACTGCAGCTTGGCTGCGAAGGGCGAACAAAGCAACCCCTCCCCGTTTTCTGCCGGTGTTCTGAAATAACTACTCTGGAATAACGGCAGCAGCCAGTAACGCGTTCCTGCCCTCGGCAAAGGAACGCAGGCGCTCTCCCTTCCTGGCTGGCATTCCTTTCGCTCTCCATCGCATCCCTCTTTCTTTCTCCCCCCCTCCCCCTTTGTGGGCACGGGGAGAGGAGGGTGACTGCTCCCTTTCAACGAGCGCTCTGACGTCAGCCGGCGTTTTAAAGGGACAGGCCCGACTGACGTTTGGCGGCAATTTTTCACTCCCTTTGCTCTTCGCGTCCCCTTTGGCGGGAGGCGACCGTGCGGTGGGGGGGGAGACCGTGGCGCTTCCCCTTTAAGGTTGCCTGGGTGACGGTTCGGCAAGTGAGAACGAGGCCCATTGACGTCAGGCCGGGCGGCGATTGGCGGAGGGATCAGGGTTTCCGGTGGGAGCGATTGCTGAGGCAGAGAAAGAGCAGGCCAGAAGTCGGGGCAGGAGAGGAGGAGGAGGCGGAGGGGGACCAGAGAAGAGGCCCAGGCAGGGAGTTGCCGCCCTGACCCCCGGGGGTAAGTCCCGCTTGGGCCCAAAGCCCTCGCGGAGGGGAGCGGGAGCCACTGGCCATCCGGTACGCCTGAGCTGAAGTGGCGGCAGAGGGAGGCCTCTTTCTCTCTCTCTCCTTCACCTCAGGTGAGGCCGGTGGCGGGAGAGGAGGCGGCGGCGGCGGCGGCGGCGGCGGCAGTGGCAGTAGTGATCCCTCTCTGCTAGGGCATGAGGGGAGAA